ATTATAGGTATAGCAAGGATTGAGAGGCTGGAGAAGGACTGGGCAGTGCTTCCTTCAGCCGTACAGAGGGTCACTATGAGTCAGAGCTGACTCAACAGCACCTAAAACCAACAATGTAACTCTAGGCACTTCAAAGAGAAGAAACTAAGCCTAAATCTACAAGAAGAATGGAAATAGCAAAGATCAGAGCATGAATAAAATTGCAAACAGAAAATCAATGGAATAAAAACCAAAAGTTTGTTCTTTGAAAACATCAATAAAATTAACAAGCCATTAGATAGACTGACAAAGAGAAAAGCTGCCAATAGCCAAAATAAGAAATAAAAGAGTGGACATTACAACTGACCTGACAGAAATAAAGAGAATTATGACACAATATTATGAACAACTGTAAGACAACAAACTAGATAACCTGCATGAAATGGACAGCTTCATAGAAACACACAACCTATGCAAACTGCTTCAAGACAAAATAGAAATCGATAAATTTGTAGACACAACCAACCTACCCAAACTGACTCAAGATCCATAAATAATGAAGAGATCGAATCAGTGATCAAAAACCTCTCAACCAAAAAAGCCTCCTAAACCAGATGGCTTCACTGGGGCATTCTATCAAATATCTGGAGAACTGACACCAATATTCAAACTCTTCCAAAAAAAAACAGAGAAGGAAAGAATACTCCCTAATTCATACTTTGAAGCAAACATAACTTGATAGAAAAACCAAAGACATCACAAGAAAAGAAAATTTCAGATCAGTATCTCTTGTGAATACAGATGCAAAAATTCTCAACAAAATACTAACACACAGAATCCAACAGCATATTTGAAGAGTCATACACCAGGACCAAGTAGGCTTTATTCCAGGAATGGAGAGATGGTTGAACATTAGAAAATCAATATAATAAAGAAAAAGAAAATCACATAATCATCCTATGGATGCAGAAAAAGCATCTGAAAAATCCTACACCATTTTTTGATGAAAACATCAAAGAAGACTGGGCAAAATAAGGGAAATTCCTCAGAATGATTCAAGGCATATATGAAAAGCAAATAGCCAACATTATACTTAGTGGAGAAAGACTGAGAGTTTTCCCCTTGAGACTGGGAACAAGACATGGGTGCCCCCTCTTACCACTTCTATTCAATAATGTGTCCTAGCCAGAGCAATAAAACAAGCAACAGTAATCAAAACAGCAACAGCTTGGTATTGGTACGCTAAACACAAACCAATGGAAAACAATTGAGAGTTCAAACATAAACCCACATATCTATGGTTAACAGCTTTTTGACAAGGGTGATCCAATGAAGAAAGAATAATCTCTTCAATAGATTGTACTGGAAAACTTGGATTTCCATGTGCAGGAAAAGGAAATAGAACCCATGCCTCACACCATACACCAAAAAAATAAATAAATAAATAAATAAAAATGGATTAAGGATCTAAATATATAAATTAAAAACTTTACATTCATAGAAAAAAATACAGTACAAACATTTATCAGGCCTAGCTTATAACAAGGAGCTCTGGTAGCATAGTGGCTAAAGCACTTGACTGCTAACCAGAAGGCTGGCGGTTCAAACCCACCGGCCACTCCTCGGAAGGAAGGTTGGGCAATCCTACTTCCGTAGTGATA